GATATATACTACAGCTTTAGGTGTAGTCCATTTCTTGCACTCTTCACCAGCTTTCTCTCAGGTCATCAGTTTGGATTGTTATTTCATCAACTTAACTACTCCCTGACTTTAGTTAAATTCACAAAGAAATTATTTGTCAATATTCATAGAAATGTAATTTGCATGTCATACTGATGATAATCTTCTAAAATCACATGCTCCTAAAGCAGTAATTGCTTATCTAATATAATAGTGATGGCATATTTTGGTGTTGACAGCTTTGTGAAAATTTGAAATAAATATTAAATCTTTAATATCATATATGATTAAAAGCAGCAACAATTGATCTATTAAATCTAACTTAACAACTGACCAATCAGAAAATGTTTAGGTCAGGAATATAAATGTGCATGTCTTACAAAAATCCAAGCACATGTAAGTCTACACAGTTTTTGTGGGTGACCAATCAGTACATGTTTAGGGTCAGGAATATAAATGTGCATGTCTTACAAAAATGCAAGCGCATGTAAGTCTACACAGTTTTTGTGGGACTTAGCTAGAATATCCACAGGGTGGAATGGTTCACTATACAAACTTTTACAAGATAAGCTTTTAATTTATACACATGACACACTCGCACCAAAAGCTGAAACGTAGTGTGAACTACTTCAAAAGTGCAAGGTGGGGTATAGCCTCCCGAGAATAATAAGCACTGTGTGGTTCAAACTCCCCACCACGAGGAACCTGAACTAAGCTGCCGCAAACTGCCTCCCCAAATTTAAGCATGATTAAAGGACTGCCAATAAATTAGAGATATTGGAGAAACAATCGTTTCCAATAAAAAAAAAACACACTACAGAAACAGACACACATCATTTTACAAAATTCATCCTACCGGTGTCCATCTGCCTCTATTCCAGTTGTTGGAGCAGGCATGTGTGTTACACAGCATCTTGTCTGCTGGTATTTGCCTGGGGTCACACTTGTTCATATCAATTGTTCTTCCGTCTTCTGCAACACAGGCGATTGCCCGCGATTTATGTCCTCCACCACAACTATGAGAACACTAAGAAGAAAATTGAAAATATGGTTTACTAGATTTTTCTAAAAATAGCTGAAAAATGTTAATTATTTATAATATATGGACTTTATGGACCTTGTAAAAATCCACTAATTAGATACAAGGGCAGATTTGGTAAAAGAGGACACAGATTAACTTTTAAAAAAATCTATAGTTATGTAGCTTTAATAAGTACTGTAGATATTTGATATATTTTCTACTAGCTAGAGAGAGGTTTAAGCATAAATAATTTAAAATTCTTGAAACGTGTTGATCAAAAGTATTGACACTTTATTACTATCCCTGTCAGCTAATTCCATCCCCTTAAGTCATGCTTTTCGATCAACAACTCTTTTGACACATATTCCAATACTAAAATTACATTGTAAGGAATTATTATTTACAAACATAAACAATGAGAAAAAGAAAATCTACATAATGAGGTGTAGTTGAGCTTTGTGTGGTCACTAGGGACTTAAGTCCTTTCATTGGCCACCTGATTACATTTGGTTACCTACCAATGTTTAGGTAAGGTTTCTGAGACCAGTTATAAAATCCCTGATATTCACTTCCAATTCAAACTTTATTCTAAATTTACATTCTAGTATGTTATTACAAGCAAGATGTTGGAGACATTGTTGGAATTTTCAGTCTGGCTTGCATACTACTTGACCTGCAACCTAATTTTATTTTGAACTAGTTCTGATTCCCATCTCCTCATGTCTAAGATCAAGACAGTTCATGGAATCGTTACCAGTACATTTCCAACAACAAAACATGTATGAATATAAATTATTAGGTGAACATAGAGAAATAAAATGTGGAATTTCATTTTATACACGTGAAATTATCATGTGAATTTGTGACACTATTATGTGAACATGTGAAACAATCATGTGAAACAATCATGTGAACATGTGGAGCTGTCATGTGAACTTGAGGAACAACAACTAAGCATGTGGAAGTAGGGCCATATTATATTAACATGTGGAAGTATCTTAAGAAATGTTGTAGCTATCACATGAATATGCAGAAATATCATGTGAACAGGCAGAACTATCATGTGAATATTTATAATCATGTGAACAGGTAGAACTACCACATGTGAACAGGCAGAACTGTCATGTGAATTGTTGTACTGTACCACTGTAAATGTGTTTGATCGAATAAATAAATGAAATGAAATGAACTACCACATGTGAACATGTGTGAGCTGGTAGAACTACCACATGTGAACATGTTTTAAAATATCATGTGAATATGTATCATTTGAAAAGGTAGAATTACCACATGTGAACATGTTGAATTATCAAGTGAATATATATAACCATGCGAACAGGTAGAACTACCACATGTAAACAGGCAGAACTATCATATGAATATGTATAATCATGTGAACAGGTAGAACTACCACATGTGAACTTGTTGAACCTGATGTTGAATTATCAAGTGTATATGCATAATCCTGTGAATAGGTAGAGTGACAGTACCACATAGACATTATGTGAAAATGTTGAACTATCATGTGAACAAGTAGAAATGCCAAATTAAGTTAATTCTATATGATATTACCTCTCCCCATTCTCCATAGTTCCAGGTTGCACATGGCTCATTGTTGCATTTCTGAGTAGTTGATGGCTTGGTTTGCTCATCACATGTTCTATCTTCATCTTGGCATCTTACTAAACGTTCTTGGATTCCACCACCACATGTTTTGGAACACTGTATTGCAACAGAAAAGAAAATGCTAAAATTATTATTTAACCTATCATGATTGTTTAAACCCACATAAATGTGCATGTTTGCATTAAATAATATTGTAAATTTAAACACAAATGGAAAGCTACACATTGGTAAACTTTGCACCACAAAGTACCTGAACACTTAAAACATTTTAATAAAATTTTAAAAAATAAAAAAACTGTTTTTGTGAAATATGTATTAAATTAGGAGTTAAATCATTTGCACCTACCTCTCCCCACGGAGCACTGATCCATTTTGATCTGCACGATTGATGGCACGACTTCTCTTCATCTGGCTTATCAATTATGTTACATTCATTCCCAGATGTTTCCTGGTTGTCACTGTACATACATGCTACATTACGACTTTGTATTCCAGAACCACAGGATACAGAGCACTGTGGGTAAATTAACATCAATTAATAACAATAACGCCTCAACAATGATGAACATAATAACAGAAATATTTTACCACCACAATTTTCTTTAATTATCTTTATTTTTTAACTTGTATTTTTCTTAATTTTTTTTCCCGAATTTTATTTTTACTGTTAAGCGCATTGAGGCTTTAGCATAATGCGCTATATAAGCCAAAATGATTATTATTATTATTATCTTATCTATACTACATACCGGTTGCCAGTGTGTTGTTCGCCATTGAGGGCACTCTTTTCTACTGCATTCTTCTCTTGACTCTGGTTTTTCACTGGGGTTGCATGAAGATTCAGGAACTAGATTGTTATCATCATCAAGACAGCTGACTAGACGTTCTCTGGTACCAGACCCACACGTCACCGAACACTAATTTAAGAAAGCATATTAAATATATAAATTAGCACTAACATTTATTTCTGCTGAATCTCCCAAAACCACTAAAATTAGTCATGAATGTGTACACTGCAATTTATCCTTGGTTTTGGCTTAACTGGACAATGGCTTAAAAATCTGTGGCCCCCCGGCTGGCACCACCCCTGCCTTCCTTGCCAGTTATTTATCGCGTTAATGGTGGGCGAATGTTTTCAAAACCATAACGTTACCCTTTCCTATACTTTAACACTGATCGCACTGTAAATTCTCCATAGTAATACCTACTATATGTCACATGACCGACTGTAAACAAACCTTGCAAAATGTGTCTATTACTACGTTCATTGAATAATCCTCACAGAGGGCTAAATATAGGCCCATGGTATAATATACTATAGGATTAACATTATTAATTTAATACAGTGTTTAGTTTCCAACTGAACTTACCGAGGTCCAGCCTCCTGTTCTCCAGTTAGTTACTTGTCTACTAATAACAGGTTCAGAGGTCGTTGTTATTGTAATACATTCTGGAAGGTGACATGAACGAATGTCTATTGGTTTCATCGCAGCATTGCATTCATATGGCTGAGTCCTGCGACCTGACCCATCTCTACAAATCACTTGTCTTCGCTGATAGCCACTTTCACATGTGACAGAACACTGTGAAAAAATATTTAAAAATCAATATTTACATTTTTGTTATATTTGCAAAACTAAATTCATGGAAAAAATTAAATTATAAAGCTAATGGCTTCAGTTTCTAAAATAAAATTCCAGCATTAAAGTGAGTATTAAGTGCATAAAACAGATAGGATTTTGCACAAAACATATTTAAATTAAGAGACTTGCTTATGAATGTTGAACCTTACTTTACCATTACCATTATCTTTATATTATATATAAAAGTTTAACATACCAGGACTGAAACCTCTAATACCCACTATGTTGCAGTTATCATTATTTCAAATGAATCAGTTGTAATCAAAATCAAAATCTTGTGATTACCTCTGACCATTCCCCTCCTTCCCACTGAGGACATGGTGCTGCTTGACAAGGTTGCGTATCAACAGGTCGGAGTCTAGGATTGCACTGATTATGACGGACCCGTACTCTATTGTGTTCACAAGTCACATGGCGCCGCTTAGTTCCCGTACCACACGTCACAGAACACTACAACAGGTATTTAAATAGTTACAGTATATGCAGGTTCTTATCTTGGATAAATCTTAATGTTTTAAACTATAATCTAAAAAGAACTATTCTCTGATTGGGCTTTAAGCATGTAACATTACATGCTATAAACAGTATCTAGACCAGTCACTGATTGAGTCAATGTAACTTGAACACATGGCCTAGTATATTAAATTAAAACAACTAAACCACTTCCCTGAGACCTCCTAGTCAATGCCCTTGTGGAAGATTCAGAAGGAAGCAAAGCAAGAATGAAGTACCAACATGATGTATCATATCAAATTGCCAAATTAAGTATATTTAATTAAATAAGTAAATAAGCTTAAGTACGAGATTAAAATTACAAAATCTAGATAAATGTTTCTATACTTTTAAAGTAATTTTTGCATATACTGTACTGCTTGTGAATTCACAAAACAAAATAAAGTTTATTTATTAACATATTAAAGATTTAACAAATATACAAAGTTGTGTAGGAACTGTCTCTTATACACATCTAGATGTGTATAAGAGACAGATACAGAGCACTGTGGGTAAATTAACATCAATTAATAACAATAACGCCTCAACAATGATGAACATAATAACAGAAATATTTTACCACCACAATTTTCTTTAATTATCTTTATTTTTTAACTTGTATTTTTCTTAATTTTTTTTCCCGAATTTTATTTTTACTGTTAAGCGCATTGAGGCTTTAGCATAATGCGCTATATAAGCCAAAATTATTATTATTATTATTATCTTATCTAT